CCTTCACACTGCATTAGGATCACGTTCACTTTCCTCGATGCTGCCAGGGAGTTGGCACACAAGAAGTGATATTTGTTGTGGGTGCCTGAGGCACACAGCTAACCTTTCAATAATCCCTCTTCCTGTCCCATGGCTGTCAACTTTGCATGGAAGTGCCATACGAGCCTTTTTGGTGGCGCTCAGTCGAGCACCGTGACTGTGACTGGTGTTCTAGCTCTCCTATAGGACATTAATAGGTTTGTCACTACGCCTAGACTCCTACGCCTTACAACACGTCTGCAATGAGAAATTGAGCCGTCTACTTCCGTATCAACAAAATAAGGATAAGGAAGGGGTATTCGGCAACTGACTGAGGAGTTGTTGGATGCGAGAGACGCTCCATCCGAATTCACCTCAACGTGGATGGGCGCTGATATGGGTTCGGGTGCCCGTGGGGCCTGAGCGGCGCCAGCTGCCTGCCAAATTATTCCCACAGGATAGAAATCGCACACCAATTCACGCAACGAACCAACCACTCGTAGCCACGCTCGCATCCACTCCGCGTACAGCGGCGTTCTGCAACAAAAAGGCACAAGTGTGTTCGAGGTAACCTCTAGTTTCTTCAAGATCCAGCTTAATTTCTTAAAAGTGGCCATAGTAAATGCAAAGGTAGACGCCAAGCGTGTCCAGTCAGTTACAGCCATGCCAATGGTGGGCAAGTGGTAACACATGGAAACAACAGCATATGAAGACGAATGAAGTTTGCCCCTAAATGAGGCGTAAAACCTATGCGCATCTACCAGAGTATAGATAGCACAGTGATTTCCAAAGCACAGCAATCAGTCCTGGGACCATTCAGAGCACGTGGAACCCCTTCTTCAATGAACGGCCCACGCCACACACACGCCCATCCACGAACCTTCCAATTACCCAAGTCATCCCAACGTAGATTCCAAGCCACCAGTGTCGAGATAGAGCGTGCTATCCTGGGATGGCTCAAACCTACTGCAAAATCCTTCTGTTCCAAAAATCCTCATCCATTAGTTAGATGCAGCGGTAAATGT